TATATGCTGTAGAGAAGAACTGGGGTGAAAGGCTTCAAAATTGTAATTTATGTTACTGTTTTTTTGCTGCTGCAGCTTGTTTTCACTAGGAACTAATGAGTTCTAATGATTCCTTCATTCATGACTTCCTTATCTCTCCCTCTGATGTAAGAGGAAAGGGAGGGCTTTGCCATGTAAACATTGCCATGTTATCGCTGAGTAAAGAATCAGAGCGATCACTAGGCAGAGAGTCGGTGTTCTGTTGAAAGGTCTGACTAGTTGAGATCTCCGGCTGGTGACGTCACGTCAGGTGACTTGCCAGTAGTTACCAGTAGGAGATTTAGACCAGAAGGCGTGCTTTTTGGGTGACCGTGCAGGTGCACCAACGGGGGTGGAAGAACTTGACGGGAGCTCGATTACCCGATGAGGATTCTAACACTGCCACCTCTGGTGCACGCGCCCTAGCTCCATCCGGTCTAAATCTGCTACTGACGTCACCAGTCAGAGATCTCAACGGGTCAGAAATTTTGACAGAACACCGGTCCGATCAGTTGTGTGCCAGTAGCCGATGCTCTTGGCTGTCTAATGTGCCCAGAACACACAGGCAAGCATGGAGGGACGTACAGGTACGTTTTCCCAGAACAATAGGGCCGCCGACCAGCCATTTAGCTAAACATTGTATAAGTTCACCGTATTTGTCGTGACTGGCATTTTTCTCCACTTGATCAATGCCAGTAACCACAATGACACAAAGAAAACAATTATTCACACCACAACGCCGCCTTCATGTGGGTCATGATGCATTTTTCCTACCACGAACACCTGAAGTCGCCGTCAACTTTGTGGTGCATAGGAATGGATAAAATGTCGCTTTAATAAAGTTTTAAACAAAAAGTAAACGTTGCTGTAACAACACCAGGCGCCTTCCTTTTTATTTAAATTCTCCAATACAATAACGATATGGCTTTTGTAAAACATGAACGCCCCACCCCTAATTAAAGTACATTCTCCGCCTCCAACAGCGCACAGCAAAAAAACAGCGCCCTGGGGATTTTTGGGGGCAATGTTGGCAGCTATGCTAGTAGGGAGATCTCGTTGGTAGAGGGTCCCAGACATGTAAGAAGCCAGGAGCTGATTCCGATCACAATGCCACACTGAAATATTACATTTGGGAGCGGTGACCCTTTTGTGACATAGTATACACCAGGGGTGGGCAACTCCGGCCCTCCAGCTGTTGTGGAACTACAAGTCCCCTGAGGCATTGCAGGACTGACAGTTACAGGCATGACTCCCAGGGGCAGAGGCATATTGGGATTTGTAGTTAAAGCACACCGGGAGGGCCAGCATTGCCCACCCCTGATGTACAGGATAGCTTTCAGTGCTCATTGGCTGATATCGGCGTTGTGTTAATAATAACTCATCTGATTGGTGTTGGCATAGTGCACATTGGCCAGTATGAATAATCTAATATCCCAGTGGGGTGGCACTGTACAGGTTGCTGCCTACGGGCTCCTGCATATGGGGGTGATGGTACCCCATATAGGTAGATCTCTGTCATGATGTGTGTTTGGGATTTACATAAAAACAACGGAAATAATACAGGTGACCTGAAAGTGCCAGTTGCCTGGCTGTCTCTGTCTTCAGTCGTTTCTGAGACACTGCCCTGGAACAAGCATGCAGCCAGTAAAGTCAAAAGAAAGTAACAAAGCTGTTGGATCGAGATGACAGCCAGGGAATGAGTATCTCAGCATTGGCAGCCCCCCTTCCTCCTGTGGAGGTTTGTTCTCCATCTTGAAGTGTTTAGCTGCAGCAAATGGTTAATGCCAGGTGGAGCGCATAGTCCTCCTCACATAAAAATCCAGAAGCCCCCATAATATATCACAGGCCCCAGCCCCCCTCCATAGTCCTCCCGCTGGTCCCCAATGGGACCTTATCCTGAGATTTACAGCAAGGTGAGAGGTGAGGACAGTAAATCGAGCCGGAAACATTCCAGATATTTAGGATGAAATGAGAAGACTCCACCCAGACCTGATCTCATGGAAGACCGACCCCGAGCCCATTCCAGACCAGCGTCACTTGTCATTTTCAATGTAGGAATCTCTCCGGATGATCTACGTCCTGTAATTTGCCCGAGAAACGGTTTCGGTGGACGCCCTCCAATTAGGGATGGGGAGCGAGGACTAAATTTAGAATCGCATCGGCTGAGCGGTGAGAAAAGTGCCGAGAGCGTCAGATGTGGATAATCTGAACAGAACACAACTAAAGCCAAACTCCCCCACCCCAAATTATTTTGTTCCCCCCAAAAAAATGATTTCTGTTTGTGACCCCCATTTGGAAGATTGTGGCAGGTGTACTTCTATACCCACCCAAAGGTAGCCAAGCCCACCTGTACCCACCCAGAGGTAGCCTAGAGCACCTGTACCCACCTAGAGAGAGCCGAGTGCACTGGTATCCACCTAGGAAGAGCCACACACACCTGTACCCACCCATAGGCTAGGTGCACCCACCCATCGGGCACCAAGCCCAATCGTACCCACACAGAGAGAGCCTAGAGCACCTGTACCCACCTAGAGAGAGCCGAGTGCACTGGTATCCACCTAGGAAGAGCCACACACACCTGTACCCACCCATAGGCTAGGTGCACCCACCCATATGGAACCAAGCCCAACCGTACCCCCACAGAGAGAGCCTAGAGCACCTGTACCCACCTAGAGAGAGCCGAGTGCACTGGTATCCACCTAGGAAGAGCCACACACACCTGTACCCACCCATAGGCTAGGTGCACCCACCCATCGGGCACCAAGCCCAGCTGTGCCCACACAGAAGGAGCCAAGCCCACCAGTACCTTCCCGGAAGGAGCCAAGACCACCTGCATTCACCCAGATATAAACCATGTCCACCTGTACCCACCCAAATAGAGCTAAGTGCACTTGTACCCACCTAGGAAGAGCCACTCACCTGTACCAACCCATGGGCTAGGTGAAAATAAGGGAAGGAGTCCACATTTACCCATCCATAGTGAGCCAAGAGCACCTCTATCCACCCATAAGATAAGCCAAGCCCATCTGTATCCACCCAGAGAGAGCCACACTTGTACCCACCCATAGGTTAGCTAAGCCCAACTGCACCCAACCATGAGGAACCAGGCCCACCTGCAGCCACCCATAGAGAACCAGGCCCACTTGCACCCACCCATAGGGAACCAAGCCCACCTGTGCCAAAAAGACCACCTATACCCACCCAGAGGGAGAAAAGCCCACCTGTACACAACCAGAGGTTAGCCCATCCCACCTATATCCACCCAGGGGGAACCATTTACACCTGTATCCACCCAGTGGTGAGCTGAGCCCACCTGTACCCACCCAGAGAGAGCAAAGACCACCTGTACCCACCCAGAGGACCCAAAGCCAACCTGTACCCTCCCAGAGGTTAGCCTATCCCACCTATATCAACCCAGGGGGAACCATCTAGACCTGTACCCACCCAGAGGGAGTAAAGACCACCTGTACCCACCCAGAGGTTAGCCCATCCCACCTATATCCACCCAGGGGGAACCATTTACACCTGTATCCACCCAGTGGTGAGCTGAGCCCACCTGTACCCACCCAGAGACAGCGAAGCCCACCTGTACCCCCCAGAGAGACCAAAGCCCACCTGTACCCCCCAGAGAGACCAAAGCCAACCTGTACACACCCAGAGAGACCAAAGCCCACCTGTACTTACTCATGGGTGAACCTTCACATCTGTACCCACCTAGAGGGAGCCACTTCCACCTGCACCAACCTACAAGTAGCCCAGCACTCCTCTTCCTCGCTTCCTGTGTATCACCCTCATCACTCCTCTTCCTCGCTCCCTGTGTATCATCCTCATCCCTCCTCTTCCTCGCTTCCTGTGTATCACCCTCATCACTCCCCTTCCTCGCTCCCTGTGTATCATCCTCATCCCTCCTCTTCCTCGCTCCCTGTGTATCATCCTCATCCCTCCTCTTCCTCGCTCCCTGTGTATCATCCTCATCCCTCCTCTTCCTCGCTCCCTGTGTATCATCCTCATCCCTCCTCTTCCTCGCTCCCTGTGTATCATCCTCATCCCTCCTCTTCCTCGCTCCCTGTGTATCATCCTCATCCCTCCTCTTCCTCGCTCCCTGTGTATCATCCTCATCCCTCCTCTTCCTCGCTCCCTGTGTATCATCCTCATCCCTCCTCTTCCTCGCTCCCTGTGTATCACCCTCATCCCTCCTTTTCCTTGCTCCCTGTGTATTACCCTCATCCTTCCTCGCTCCCTCTGTATCACCCTCATCCCTCCTCTTCCTCGTTCCCTGTGTATCACCCTCATCCCCCCTCTTCCGCGCTCCCTGTGTATCACCCTCATCCTTCCTCTTCCTCGCTCTCTGTGTATCACCCTCATCCTTCCTCTGTGTATCACCCTCATCCCTCCTCTTCCTCGATCCCTGTGTATCATCCTCTCCCTCCTTTTCCTCGCTCCCTCTGTATCACCCTCATCCCTCCTCTTCCTCGCTCCCTGTGTATCACCCTCATCCCTCCTCTTCCTTGCTCTCTGTGTATCATCCTCTCCTCCTCTTCCTCGCTCTCCGTGTATCACCCTCTCCCCTCTCCTGGGTGGGTCTGGGCTGAGTCAGGATGCTATGTCTGTGTGTGTTGGTTTGGGGCGGAGGGGAAGCCGAGTCTCTGCTGGGCTATTTAGTGCTATTAGCAGAGACTTTGCTCAGGTTGGGACCCCGTTCAGTGACTCCTCTACCCCCTGGTGCCATATACTTCAGTGAGACAGGGGAGGGGGCCGGGACGAGGGGGGCTCTATGCTGTAGCTGCGCCCCCCACCTATAAATTCAGCATTACATCATCTGAGCGATCAGACGATTCACGAGCCCTGAGACCGAAGTGTTCAGGACACCAGTTGTCTATAGAGAGAGTGACCGGGGCGCTGACATAGGTGCCAAGATCCACAAAGGACTACCCAGGTGGCCAGCAAGTGGAAAGTAGTGTGATTGTAGGTGGGCAACTACCATGGTGAGGTCACCATCCACCTTCCTTCTCCTGCTGCTTCTCTGGACTTTGGATGTTGGAGCATCGCGGCGTAAGATTCTCCTTCCCATCAAGCCGGAGCAGGACCTTGTGCCATCCAAGTCGCAGATAGGTGAGTGAAGCCAAGAGCCATGGCCAGTACCCAGGCTTCCTGTTGTGTGAATGAGGAAGGGGCACCAATTGGGAGGTGATGGGGGGGGGGGCAGTTGGCGAGATGCCATTGCATGGGGTATCTCCTGCATTGGGGTCTTGATGCTGAAATCCACTATTTGTGCCAACTTGATGGGCGTTCGGCTAATCCTGGCACATTTTATAAGCCGTGACCTGTGGCAGGGTCCGTAATGGTGGTGATTTGGATTTTTGGAGGAGATGTTCTGCTGCAATAACGGCTCCTATGGGAAGCAAACTGACTTTTATTTGCCGTGAGTGAATTTTTCTGTAACTCAGCATCTGCAGAACTCCGGTCACCTCCCAGTCAGACATTCGGGTTCCGCTGTGTTGTCACATTTCACCCTTTAATTCCTTACAATTTGCAATGTTCTCATGTAAGGCAGCAAAAGCAGCATCTGGCTTGCAGAAATCCGCCCTCCAAGTCACAGCGAGCGAGGGAACAGTCAGCATGCCCCCTGCCGCTCCCCGGGCTTCTATGTTCTTCAGAGCCTGCAGATTGAGGCTTTCAGCTGGCGTGGAACTGAAAGTACTAGGAATCTCTGCAGCCTTGGAGTTGTCACGTTGCACAGATGTTTCTACAAGTTTTCTGTGATTCTTTATGTTTTATTGTGTTACAATACAGAAGCCTCTTAACCTTTTTACTGCAGGAGAACCATTGAAATAATGTTTAGGTCATAGGGAACCCCTGCTAAAAATGATTATACCAATGGCCATACACTGGTAGATTTTTTTATGGAATTCTACGGGTGTATGGCCAGCTTTAGTATGATCAGAAGGTTGGAGATGTCATATAATCAATAAAACAATAAAGAATGTGGCTAAAGATAGACAGTGAACATTGTAGAGACACTTTACACTGAATAACAGTGTAGAAGGGCCCCCTTACACTGGTGGTCAGTAAAGAAGGGCTCCCCACATGGGGTAATAGTGAAGAAGGGCGCCCTTACATCAGTGGTCAGTTGAGGTGGGCCCCCTTACATTAGTGGTTATTGGTGGAAGACCCCTTTACATTACGGGGTTGGTATAGAAAGGCCCCCCGATGGTCAGTGGTGAAGGGCCCTCTTATATTCATCACTAGTGGAGAATGGATTTGTGGTTAGAGAAGGGCCCCCTTACAGTAGTGGTAAATGGAGAAGTGCACTTCCATGAGTGGAAGAGGGCCCACTGTTAATGCCCAGTGGAGAAGAGTCTCCTTACATTGGTTGCCAGTGGTTAAGAACCCCATTACATTGGTGGTCAGCTGGGAAAAGCCCCCTTATATTGCTGGTCAGTGATGAAGACCCCCTTTACATTGGTGGTCAGTGTAGAGCCCCCTGACATTGATGTTCATTATGAGAAATGTGCCCCTTAGATTGGCGGTCAATACGAGAAGTGCCCCATTACATTGGTGGTCAGTGGAGAAAAGCCCCCAGTCAAATGGTGATCATTGTAGAGCCCCCTTACATTGGTAGCCAATGGAGAAAAATCCCCTCATGATTGGTGGTCAGTGAAGAGCCCCCATATATTGGTGGTCAGGAAAGAAGGGCCCATATTGCTCAAGTAACCCCTAGCAACGTCTGAAGAAAGCCTGGTGTCTCACTGTTGTCTGTTTCCTTTAGGTTGTCACCTTGGTGGTAAAATATACTCGCTGGACGACACTTGGCATCCAGATCTGGGAAAACCCTTTGGGGTCGCTTACTGCGTGCTGTGCCGCTGTGAGGCGGTAAGTTTGGGTTTGCTGGAACTTTTCTGGCCTAGGGGCTCATTGTTATCCTGTCTGGTGAGAGTTAATAAGGGGGCTGCCATTACTGACAGTTGCCTGCTATTATGTTACTGACCTGGAACAAGCGTACAGACCAGGAAAGCTAGAAATCTTTCTCTACAGACTTGTTCTGCATTTCACATTGAAACTTAGAGCACCCTGAGGGAACCCTGGCATCTGGGAGCCCCCCAAACTCAGAACCCAAAACTTGGGAACCCTGAAATCTGGAAGCCACTTATCCTGGAAGCTGGGACCCAAAAACCTGGGAACCCCACCTCCAAGAAGATGTTAAACCTGGACTGCAAAACCCAGGAGTCCTGAACTCAGAGAGCCCCTAAACCTAGAGGCCCTGGAAACTGGGACCCTTAAATTTGGAACCCTGAATCCATGGAGACCCTAAACCTGGATTCCTGAAAACTGGGAACCTGGAAATCAGGGAGCCCCTAATCCCAGAAGTCCTGGAATTTGGGAGCCCTGGAAACCAGGACCCTAAACCTGGAACCCTGAAACCAGTAAGCCACTTATCCTGGAAGGTGGGACCCAAAAACCTGGAAACCCCAACTCCAAGAAGATGTTAAACCTGGACCACAAAACCCAGGAGTCCTGAAATCAGAGAGCCACTAAACCTGGGGGCCCTGGTGACTGGGACCATTAAACGTGGGAGCCCTGAATCCATGGAGACCCTAAACCTGGATTCCTGAAAACTGGGAACCAGGAAATCAGGGAGCCCCTAATCCTGGCTCTACGGTTCCCAGGTTTAGGCACTCCCTGGAAACCAGGACCCTAAAACCTGGGAACCCTGAATCCAAGGATACCCTAAACCTGGAAGCCCTAGAAACTGGAAACCCAAAACCTGGAGCCCTGAAATCAAGAAGCCCCTATAGCTGGAAAACCTTAAAATTGAAGCCTCAGAGATTGGAACCCCCAAAGCCAGGGAACCCTGAAATCAATAAACACCTAAACCTTGCACCCCAAAACCTTGGAGCAAAAAGCCTGGAATTCCTGCACATGGGAGCTTCAAATCTTGAAACTGAGAACCCTGAAACCAGGGAGTCACTAAACCTGGGAACCCTAGAGTCAGTGAGCGACTTCATCTCAGAAGCTGGCTCCAACCTTCCCATGTTTCCTTATTGGTCAGGGAGACAGGCAGGGCAGAGTCCAGCTTCTAGGTGAAGGTGGAAGTTGTACCATAGATATGATGGGTGCCCCTTATATTATTAATTCAATGTTACAATATTACAATTTAGGGTTTATATTCTCTCTGTGTATGATATGGAGATGTGGAGAAAGAGCCATGAGCAATATAGGCAGGAAGAGAAACCTGAAAAACGAAATATTATTGGTGAACATGAGGAGGAGAAGGGTCAGTGTAGTGGGAGGTAATTAAAAAACACTTTGCTTTAGTAAATTGGTTATTCAGAGACATTCAAGCTGTCCTGTGATTGAGTGATTAATGATTAGATTGACACTAAGGGGCATAGCTTATTCGATCGCATCTGTGGGAGTTATCCAGCTGTTGTGAGAATGGGTCGAAAACAAATGTTCTCTTTCTCTTCTGATCGAATATTCTTCATCAGGTTCATTCATACAGAACAGAGTAAATGGGGAAAATACCGCATTGTGGCCACTAGATGGAGCCGAGGATCGTAGGAAATAAATACATGTTAGCAACCAGATACAATTCAAGAGACTGCCGGAGACATATAAATGTAACCATTGCTATCCCCGTAGTATCAGTGCTTACATTTATATGCTCATTCCCACTAGCCGTCTCTTGAATTGTAACATTGTATCTCCTTACTAACTAATATTTCCGGGTGCCTTTCATGGCAGCATACAAACAATAAGCTCCGCCCCTTATCCCTACCCACAGGACCAGTAACAATCGACGCATAGTTACAAGAATGCGGGGGAGTCTCTCTCTCTCTTTTTTATAGATTGTTACTGGTCCTGTGGGTAGGGATAATGGGCGTAGCTTATCGTTTGTATGCTGCCATGGACAGGCACCAGGAACAGAAAAAATTACTGGTAAGTATGATACAATTTTCCGTTTTATTCCCTTTGATCCTCAGCTCCATCTAGTGGCAATAATGTAATATTTCCCCATTATATACTATATACCTATCAAAAAAGCATTCAACCAGAAGAGAATTTACACTAAGAACATTTGTTTTTGCCCCATTCACACAGCAGCTGGTTAACTTGCACAGAATGAATTGACAGGCAGTTGCGTTGGAGGAATATGTTTATACATAGACCACATAATGATCTGGAAGGATGGAGAGGGAACAGTCTGTGTACTGGAAGTCTGGGGGCAGTTAGTGGCTTGCAGGGGAAGCCATAGGTGATTATAGCGGGAATGCCTAAGCTGGGTTGGCTTCATCCTGCACAATTGTTCTCTGACTCTCTTCCTGTTTAATTTTAGCAGCGGAGTCGTTGGGGAAAAGAATCGGGGAAGATCAGCTGTAGGAGCATCAAAAGTCATTGCGTGCCGCTGGCCTGCGCCAATCCTGTGGAGGTCCCGGGGCAGTGCTGCCGGGTGTGCCCCAAGAGTAAGGAAATCTCTGTCCTCTATTCCCCCCTCCCCCCTGTCCTCAGGGACGTCTCTCATGGCCTCCATGGACTCCCTTTTGGCTTTTTGTGTCGCACATTACATTTTTTTATCACCATTTTAAGGAATTATTTCTCTATCGTGATTTTTATTTTGTTTTCTTATTCTTCCAGCTCCGACCCTTCCACCTCTTTCAAAAAAATCTGAGTTTGCATTCGATGAGTTTGAGTATTTCCAGGAAAAGGACGATGAACTCTACAACGATCGTTCGTACCTGAGCTCTGACGATGTTGGCATTGAGGACGGGCGCACAGGTAAAGGCAAAACGATTCTCAAAATTCCCAAACCTTCCTCGCAGCCTTCAGTTTAGACATGTAAGCTGCGGAAACATTTGGTTTGGATATTTCGTTATTTCGGAATTTGGATCCAAAATTCAATTCGGTTCGGGTTTCGGATTTGGAACGAAATCCGAATTTTCGTTAGTTCCGGATGAGTTTACGAATATATGTTGCGAATACCACAGAAAACCGTATATAGATATTATTACTAAAGTTGAGGCTCCTAGACCCGAATGGCATTCCGGATCCAAATTTCCGAATTGCATTCGGGTCTGGGAGCCATATATATATATATACATATATTACTAAAGCTGATGTTCCCAGATCCGAATGACATTCCGGAGCTCCCCAATGCAATTCGGAAATTCGGATCCCGACTGACATTCCTGTCTGGGTGCCTCAGCTTTAGTGTTATACAGTATGTATATACTGTATATGGCTCCCATGTTGCCGTAACGAAAATTCATATTCGGACCCATTTGGAGGCATTAAACCGAAAAACACATCTGATTGGCCAGAAAAGTCACACGTCCCATTCAGTTTAGTTTTTGAACGAAATTTGGACTGGATCGGAAATTCGGATTTGGACACATTCGGATGCATTGGGATTCAGAAATTCAGATGTGTCAGAATGTCCGAATTTCGGAAAAATCTTAAGAACTTTGATTTGGAACGAAACGAATCGCACATGTCTACTTCAGTTACAGGAAACAAACATGCAGCTTTTGCTCAGTTGGGGGACATGGCCAAACCCTGGCTGTGGCTGGGGGCCAGTTCTTCGCTGATCGCTGCGGATACATTGTAACTTCTGTATCTGAAATGATTCCGGACACGGAGATAAATGTGATCAGAGTATTGGACCTTCAGAGCGTCATCAATCATTAGTCTGTGATGTATTATGTGCTGTACACTTCCTGGGCTCATATGTTATCATACATGTAGGAACGCAATACTCCGGCCTACGTGGAATTTATGTACTTTGTTTTCTTTCACAGAATTTGTTTCCTTTTTGACCACGTCAAGCCATGTGGGGCCTCCGGTGAAGAGCAGCCTCGCCAAAGCTAAATTTAACCTCCAGCGCTCCAATTTACTCTTCTCCATCACCTATAAGGGGTACGGCTCCTGCTGGATTGCTGCTTTTTTTGTTTTGTTGTTGTTGTCTTCCAACATAATCTTATAGATTTAATTAATAGCTGTGCCCATTATGAGGGGCTGCCACCATCCCTGTGCTGAGTTCCCGGGTCTGTACACCTGCTGTGCCCATTATGAGGAGCGCCCACCATCCCTGTGCTGAGTTCCCGGGCCTGTACACCTGCTGTGCCCATTATGAGGAGCGCCCACCAACCCTGTGCTGAGTTCCCGGGTCCGTACACCTGCTGTGCCCATTATGAGGGGCTGCCACCATCCCTGTGCTGAGTTCTCAGGTCTGTACACCTGCTGTGCCCATAATGAGGGGCTGACACTATCCCTGAGCTGAGTTCCCGGGTCTGTACACCTGCTGTGCCCATAATGAGGGGCTGACACCATCCCTGTGCTGAGTTCCCGGGTCTGTACACCTGCTGTGCCCATTAGGAGGGGCTGCCACCATCCCTGTGCTGAGTTCCTGGGTCTGTACACCTGCTGTGCCCATTTGGGGGGGGGGCTCACACCATCCCTGAGCTTAGTTCCCGGGTCTGTGCACCCGCTGTGCCCATTATGAGGAGCTCCCACCATCCCTGAGCTTAGTTCCCGGGTCTGTACACCTGCTGTGCCCATAATGAGGGGCTGACACTATCCCTGTGCTGAGTTCTCGGGTCTGTACACCTGCTGCGCCCATAATGAGGGGCTGACACTATCCCTGTGCTGAGTTCTCGGGTCTGTACACCTGCTGCGCCCATAATGAGGGGCTGACACTATCCCTGTGCTGAGTTCTCGGGTCTGTACACCTGCTGCGCCCATAATGAGGGGCTGACACTATCCCTGTGCTGAGTTCTCGGGTCTGTACACCTGCTGTGCCCATTACGAGTGGCTCCCACCATCCCTGACCTGAGTTCCCGGGTCTGTACACCCACTGTGCCCATAATGAGGGGCTGACACTATCCCTGTGCTGAGTTCTCGGGTCTGTACACCTGCTGTGCCCATAATGAGGGGCTGACACCATCCCTGAGCTGAGTTCCTGGATCTGTACACCTGCTGTGTCCATTATGAGGGACTCCCACCATCCCTCTGCTGATTTTCCAGGTCTGCACAGCTGCTGTGCCCATTATATTTTATATTGTGAATAATGTAACAGGAGGGGCTGAAATACACCAAGGTGAATGGTAACAGCCCATTGGGGGCGGGAGCACACAAAGGTGGGTGGGGACAGTCTATTGTGGGGCCGAAGCACACAAAGGTGGGCGGGGAAAGTCCATTGTGGGGCAGGAGCACACAAAGGTGGGTGGGGAAAGTCCATTGTGGGGCAGGAGCACACAAAGGTGGGTGGGGAAAGTCCATTGTGGGGCAGGAGCACACAAAGGTGGGTGGGGAAAGTCCATTGTGGGGCAGGAGCACACAAAGGGCAGAAACTCTCAGAATTTGCAGGTGGACAGAAGCAGAACCGGGAATTATGACAGGGAGATCTCACTGTTGGAGGGTCCAAGACATATTAGAAGTTAGGGGCTGACTCAGCTCACCAGACCCCATCCATACATAAAATATTACTTTAGTGTGGACTGACCCTTTAAGTCAGGGTTCATGCTTTATGTGGTGACTATTTACTCCATTTCATGTTCTAAACGTTCCTCAGGACACACAGCTTTACCCGGGTTCGGTTCACAGACATTGGCGGCTCGGTGCTGTTTGAGCACCCTGTGCACAGAGTGAGGCTCCGGCACAGTGACACGGTAAGTCATGTGGATAACACCATCGTCTTGTGTTTCCGTTTTCTGTCCTTTCTGCTCCCCTCAACTGTCCAAAATTCTGTTCTGTAGATCTGCGGACTATGGCGCTCCGTTCCTCGCTCCTCCCTCCACCTTCTTCGTCAGGGACACATTCTTGTTTCTTTGGTAATGGAGACACTTCTTGAACCTGAAATCTCTGGCAAGATTCTCCGTCACAAAGCTTTATTCTCAGGTAGAGTCTCTGTGAGCACCAATGTAAAGGAGTACTTCTCCACTGAGCACCAATGTAAGGGGGGCTTGTCCACTGAGCACCAATGTAAAGGAGTACTTCTCCACTGAGCACCAATGTAAGGGGGGCTTGTCCACTGAGCACCAATGTAAGGGGGTCCATCTGTACTGAGCATCAATGTAAGGGAGTCCTTCTCCACTGAGCACCAATTTAAGGGGGGCTTGTCCACTGAGCACCAATGTAAGGGGGGCTTGTCCACTGAGCACCAATGTAAAGGAGTACTTCTCCACTGAGCACCAATGTAAGGGGGGCTTCTCCACTGACCACCAATGTAAGGGGGTCCTTCTGTACTGAGCATCAATGTAAGGGAGTCCTTCTCCACTGAGCACCAATGTAAGGGGGTCCATCTGTACTGAGCATCAATGTAAGGGAGTCCTTCTCCACTGAGCACCAATTTAAGTGGGTCCTTCTGCCCTGAGCACCAATGTAAGGGAGTCCTTCTCCTCTAAGCACTAATATAAGTGGTCCTTCTGTACTGAGCATCAATGTAAGGGGGTCCTTCTGTACTGAGCATCAATGTAAGGGAGTCCTTCTCCACTGAGCACCAATGTAAGAGGATCCTTCTGTACTGAGCACCAATGTACGGGGGTCCTTCTGTACTGAACACCAATGTAAGGGGCTCTTCTCCACTGACCACCAATTTAAGGGGGTCCTTCTGCACTGAGCACCAATGTAAGGGGGTCCTTCTCCACTGAGCACCAATGTAAGGGGGTCCTTCTGCACTGAGCACCAATGTAAGGGAGACCTTCTCCACTGACCACCAATGTAAAGGGGCTCTTCTGCACTGACCACCAATGTAAGGGGGTCCTTCTTCTTTTGCCTGCAGTGTACCAAAGACAAGACGGGAAAATTCACAATATTTATTTGTGTTACCTCCAACAGAATCTTTTAGCGCTCTTCTAACGCCGGATGAAGAAGGGAGCAGGGAACGTGGTCTAGCCATGCTGACGCTCAGCACTGGGGATGACGACCTTCATTTTATCCTCATGCTCAGAGGCATACAAGAGGAGGAGCAAGGTAAGGATCCCGGGATCATGGGGATAGAATCTTGCAGACTATTCATTACACTACGGAAATCGGAGAGATGCTCTGCAGGTACAGCGAGGATCAGTGATACTGTACCTCCTCTGATTATACCAGGGGTAGGCATTCTTGGCACTTCAGCTGTTGTGGAACTACCCTATGCTCTGGATTTTGAATTTCGCTCAGGAATGGCGAGCACTCATTGGTCAGCGCGGTCACCTGAGCAGAAAGGGGGGGAGTGGGGGCCAGATTGGAGGGGTCGTTCCATGTTCTCAGATTCACCTGGTGAAATTGGACTTGCCATTTAAACGTCAGCTGTAACAAAGCTCAAACCCAGCCAGATGAAGCAGCAAAAACAATAGAAGGAATGTTTTTTTGTGGAGCCGGATAATGTTGAAAGACGATTCAGGAAGAAGGGGGAAAGGTCTTTTTGTAACACGATGTTTGTTTCCTTTTGCAGAACAGATTCTGGTCACCGTGCAAATCTTACATCACCACCGCGTCATCCGAGCACTCTGCGCCAACATCACCGTCCAGGTATGAGACGCCGGATTTTGCACATCCCGAGTTTCAGGTTCTCTATGATCTCCATTCTTCTCCCCGATCTCGGCCACATCTCCATCTCTTCCCTTTTTCCATCACTCACCCCCAGGAGACGGACTTTGCCGAGGTTTTTCCCAATCTCTCCAGCCGGGAGATGCTGTGGCTCGCCCAGGGGCAGCTGGAGATCGCAGTGCAAATGGACGGCGACCGCACACCGCGCATATCTGGCTTAATCGCAGTCAGGAAGTCATGTGACAGTAAGTAAAAGACAAAAACACTCCGCCGTGCCAAATGGTAGAGGTGAGCAGAGGTGGCTGACTCAGCAGGGCTTAAAGTGCATGTAAACACCGTCAATGAACTTCTCTTATTTGTTGCTTTTTGGGCTTTTGAATGTACCAGTAAGGGTCCAGTCATACCAGCTAGCACCAGTGCATGGGTGCGTGATGACAGGTACAGCGCTGATGTGCGCTTTGTGATGTGTACCTTTTTTTTTTTTGTTAGAACTTTAATGAAATGCCATAAGTGTCATTCCATAAAGTTCTATCGGCACATCATGGTGCTCTGCGGCTGTGCTGCGTCACATGACACTATGCTGAAAAGAAGTTCTACAAGGTGGAATGAACTGAGCTTATTTGAAGCAAGATGTGCATTGGGGCAGCACCAACACATCTGGTGTGAACAGACCCTAATAGGTGCAAAACATTGCCTGTTGATCCTGCCAGAAACCTTGTGAGCTGATAACTTCTGTTCACTCTAGCTACACTGCATTTTAACTGTAACCAGTGCATTCGGAGGACTACAGGACACCTCCTTCCTGTGTTATGAAGATGGAGAAGTGTTCTGCAGTCCTGTCTTACTTAGGGTGGCAACGTTGTCCCTCCATAGATACAGTACAGCAAGTGAGCGTTGTCACCCTAGGACAGGAAGTGGCAGGATCTGCAGGTGAAAATAAACTAAAACAGCCAGAATGAAAACAAATGCAGCCACCACATCTATGGACTGGTAATCTGCAATGTATACATTTTGATACACTTTAAAGGCGAACTATGGGGTCAGTGTTTTCCCCCATAGTTCTCCTTAGGGTAACGGGAGGACACAAACTAGCGTCTTCCCGTTACCCTAAGCTCAGTATACCGCGAGTATACTGAGACGCCGGAGTGGATCCCGACTTAGACGACGGGATCCGCCCAGCTGCGTGAGTGACAGCTGGCTCTGCCTATCTAGAGGCAGAGCCAGCTGTACCCACCCCCTCCCCCGTCCATTCCGCCAGTCAGCGCTGGTGGATCGGAGCGGGGAGGGGGGAATCCAGCCCCTCCCCCTGTCACGGCAGAGAGCTGTGACAGGATCGAGAGGTAAGCGAACGCCGGTATGTGTTCTCTCACCTCCCGATCTACTGAGCCGACCTGTGACAGTCTCATTGTCACAGGTCGGCTAGAACTATGAGGTGAGTGGAAATCCCCTCCCCCCTCATAGTTCTCCTTTAAGTAATTTAGAGATTATAGTTATGCTGTGGGGAAAGGGCTGGTGCTGCCATTCTGTGCCGGGAGTAAGATGTGTGATGCATAGGGCCATAGTGGCTGAGTGAGATGCTAAACTGAACACTGGAGATATACAGACATGTCAATGGATATGAGGGGGTAGGAGTAAATGGAGAGGATGATTGTGACTCCATGGAGCGCCGTCGACCGGACACGTGTGCATTCTCTATCCGGTCTTACCTCTTGCTGCCCACTGACCACCCCGCCGAGCAATGCACTTACCAAATGTGAGGAGCACCCCAGTGGTCCCCAAAACATTATTTCTGGGGACCACCAGGGATTTCCCTCTCTTTGGAAGGATTTTCTTTCACTTCCTTACTCTATACAAAACTAAACAAAACGTTTGGGCTTCGGTTCTACACTGGACTGCACTGGAGCCTTGTGATGTCATAAAATATTCTGTGATGATGTCATTGGCGGAACTGATCGGATAATCCCCTCTCTTCTGTTTCTGCAGCTCTCCAGAGTGTGCTCTCTGGCGGTGATGCTCTGAACCCAACCAAGACCGGAGCGGTGGGCTCAGCAACCATCACACTGCATGAGAACGGGACGGTGGAGTACCAGGTACGGTGCAGAGGGGACCATAGACATAGATAGAGCCATAGCCTTAGATCGGACCATAGCCTTAGATCGGACCATAGCCTGAGATCGGACCATAGCCTGAGATCGGACCATAGCCTGAGATCGGACCATAGCCTGAGATCGGACCATAGCCTGAGATCGGACCATAGCCTGAGATCGGACCATAGCCTGAGATCGGACCATAGCCTGAGATCGGACCATAG